GAATGGGGGCCGCAGGCTCTAGGAGCAGGGCCGGCTCCACCCAGCTCTCTTCCTACCTCTCTCCTCTCTCGTCCCAGCTGCCTCCATCTTCTCCCTGAAGGAGATCCAGCTCCAGAAGGACCCGGGCTACCGGGGCCTGGCCTTTCAGCAGCCAGGTAGGGGCTTATGCCTCCCCCACCTCCCCTTGTTAGAGGCGACCAGGGCAGACTGCTCCTCTTTCTCGAGGAACAGAGATGGGGCCTGGCAGCCCCTCCTGCGATGAGAAATCAGCATGGCCTCCCTGATGCTGGCCACCCTCTGGGGGGCCCACGGGGCACAGGGAAGATGCTGTGGTTTCCCTATCTCCTGCCCAGGCTTCCTCCTCCAGTGTCTCCCTCCTCAACCCCCACCCCAGACAGAACTGAGCTACATCTGACACAGTCCTGATGAAGGTGCATGCTCCCTGCAAACTCTGAGCTGTCTAACTAGAAAACTGCAGAACTGTACTTTGTCTCTAAAACAGTCGATGGCCTTGGAAGTGACAGGCACTTTCCTTGCATTTAATCTTTTATCTCATTTAATCCTTAAAACAGTCCTTGAAGTTGGTGCTATTAATGCTCCCCATTTCACAGTCAGTGAAACTAAGGCTCTGAGAGGTTAAGTCACAATTTCCTGCAGCTCACAATTTCCTCTGCAGTGGCAGAGATGGGATTTGAACCCAGGACTGACTGGCTCCTGAGCACATGCTCTTGCTTGCTCCATCAGTGGTTCTGGAGTGTACCCGTCCCTTCTGATCTCGGGCACCCTCTGGCCCAGCCTCCTCCCTTACAGTCCTCCTCTTCCCCTCTGCTCCAGGACGAGGGAAGAGCCGGCGACAGAGCATCTTCTGAGCCATGCCCACCCTGCTGCAGCCCAAGAGATAGGAGGTCACACTGAGCACAGCTGCGGGCGGGATGGGGCCTGCGTGGCCCTCGGAGGACTGAGGAACGAGGGCTAAGGCTAGCTCAGAAGACTTCTTGCAGCCCTGCTGGCCACAGCTGTGTCCTGACCCTGCTTCCCACGTGCCTCCCCAGTGGCCTTGGCCCAGACGCCAACCCCTCCAACACTTGCCCTGGGCTGGGCCTGAGCTGCGTCCCTGGGAGGAAGTGAGGGGGCAGGGAGGGACTTTAGACACTTTTCCACCCCAAAGTCCTTGGGCACCAACGTGGGACCAAAAAGGACAGGAGAACCCAGCTGCCGGATTGAACACCGTGCCCTGGATATGGGCACCACCATGTGTCCCCCGGGGGCCCATTCACTAGTTTGGTAGAGCCCCTTAAGGGCACCTTGGAGCCCACACCCCTCACCTTCCCCTCCAAGAGCAGGAAGCGACATGGCATCTTTTCCAGGACCCTAGAATCCTGGGTGCCAACATGTGTGCCAAAGCCCACTCCCCACCTGAGGGGCAGGTGTCCCTGGAGCAACGGGGAATAGTAGCCCCAACCCCTCTTCTCATCATTGCACCCTGTTCCCATTCCCCACTCCTCCCCAGAGGCCCCATGTGCTGCTGGATGCCCGGCTGAGTCTAGAGGTGGCCTGGTACTGCCAGCCATGCCCTGCCACCTCTGCTGGCCCCGCCCATCTCCCCAGTCTGAATGGGATTGCCTTAAGCTGGTAGATGGTAGAGCACTCACTGCCCTTGGAGCGCTGACCCAAGCTCCTACCTGTCCGCCCTTTCCCGAGAGTGGCTCCTGCTTATCACACCTGAGTGCTGATAAGCTAGCCCTGGGCCAGGGCCCGGAGGACGGCACCCAGGTCTGCAGGGTCACCCTGACACTGGCGCCAGGCTGGCCTCAGCTCCAGGGGGCCTGGCACGGCCTCCCTCCACCCCACCCCACTTCTCTCCCTTCCCCTCCTTCCGAGCCCCTGCGGCCCTTCCTTGCTCTCCCCAGCCCTGGTACCAGCCTCTGCAAAGGGTGGTTGCCGAGGGAGGGTGTAAATGCCACAGTCTGAGGTAGGGGACTGTGGGATGCGACAGGACAAGCTTTGATCCTGAGAGCCCCACCCCAGGGGACTGGGAGAATGGAGCATGCCTGTGGTATCCCCAAGGGAGCCTCAACACTTGGCTGAATCTTGAATGGCAAGGCCAAGAGGAGGCCAGGCCCAGCCTCCTACACCAGCCCCCTACCCAGCCCAACCCCCTCAGCCGGAGGACCAGCCCTGGAGGGTCTCAGGCCCCACCCCCCAGGAGTCCTTCCACTCCTCCCCCACTATACTGTGACTGTCCTGTGACTCAGCACAAAGGCAGATGATATATTTAATTCATGTACAGAAAGAAGCAGGCAGTCTCATGCAGAAAAACTGAATTTGACAGATTGATGCCAAAGACAGAGGCTTTCTCCGGGCCTCAGGAGTGCGAGTGGGCTGTGTGTGTGTGTGTGTGTGTGTGTGTGTGTGTGTGTGTGTGTAAACTGGAGAGTTTGGTTTGCATGTGTGTCTGAACCCACCTGGGCTGTAGGAGGGTGCTCTGTACCCTCCCTGCTGTATTCTGGATGCTGCTGTGCTTAGGGCTGGACGTCAACTCTGGGTGTTAGAGGTGGGAGTGGAGGAGACCTTGGGGCTCCAAGCTCTGCCTCAGGCCTGGGCCTAGGTCTGTGCAGAAGGGGAGGGCCCAGGGGTCAGGTCTCAGTACTGTTTCTTGCGTTGGGCAGATGCAAAGTTACCCTCAGCCACCTGTGAGCTTTATCTCCAGCCAAGTGCTATACTTGGCAATGAAATCGCCTGCCCAGCTGCACAGTACCAGAGGAGGAGGGATGGTCGAGATCCGCAAGCAGTAGAGGCAGCACAGTGCTGAGGTGAAGAGCCAAGCTCTAGTGCGTAGACAGAAATCCTGGCTCTACTACTTCCTGTGCCTCAGCTTCCCCTTATGTAAAATGAAGTGATCATAGGATTAGAGTGGAGATGAAGTGAGTTAACACATGGAAAGCTCTCAGAATTTATTGGCCAAATTGAAGGCGCCACATAAGTGTTGGCTGTTGCGTCACCTATCCAGGGTGGAAGAAAGCACTACTCAGTAGAGGGGGTGGGGAGGGCTCTGTGTGGGCACAGGAGTGAACGAACCCCCTCCTGTCTGTGGAGAGCCACCCATCCTCCCAAACTGCCACTAGGGTTTCAGAATTCTGATGTCCCTCATCCTAACAGATGTATGTGTTAGGCAAAGTACTGTGAACTGAACAAGCATCTAAATTTAACTTTTTTTTTCTAATTTAACAGACATTTATTAAAAATCTCCTTGACCCAAACAACTCTGTGAAACACTAACGATTCAGAAATGAGTAAAGGGTGCTCTCTCCTCAAGGAACTCACAGTCTGGTCAGGGATAGATAAGCCGATTGCAGAAATAATAACAATAATGGCTTCGAAGTGGGCTCTGTTATCTGCATTTCACAGATGTAGAGAATTCCAGATAATGCGTGCAGCCCGCCCAAGGGTGGGCTCCTTTATGCCCACCTCTCCTCCCGTCCTCAGCCTCTGGTACCATCTGTCTTGCAAGGCTCAGAAAGTGAGTTGGACCCCCACCCTCCAGGTTCAGTACACAGTTGGGAATGAAGTGAATTAACATCAAAATGAAACATCTGATAGTTAGGAACCTGGAACCTGGAACCTGGCCTTCCCCAGCCCCTCAGCTCTGCCTGGGGCCCAGACATCTTTAGATGTGAGTTCCCATTTACAGTCACAGGGCCTTATTTCCAGGTGTTTCCAAACTCTACTCGCCCGCCTTCCTCTTCCCATGTCTATCCCCAGGATACTCAAAAGATATGCGGTCTGGGCTGCAAGGGGCTTCAGGACATCTCACTGACTGTCCTACTGTCATCTCTAAGGGGCTGTGCCCCATCCCAGCAAGATGCCCATGGCCTTCGTGCCCTGCCCTGCCCCCTCTCCAGCCCGGCATCTCACCACCACTGTACTCTTCCTCTAGACCACAGACCCACCTTTCTCTGAAAGCACCTCCTCCCTCAAGCCTTTGCACCTCCATCTGTCCATGTTCCCTCCGCCTGGACTTCCCCATCCACCTCCCTTTGCCTTCCCCTTGCTGGGACTCAGTGCTCCTGCCCCTACAATGAAGGGGGACCCCACATGCCCTCAGAGTGTCTTCCCTGCTCCCAATTTACATCAACCTGTCTGCTCCCACTTTAGTGTTTTGTATGAGCCATTTCCCTCTCCTTTCAAGTATGCTTCAAACTCCTCCTCCTCCAGGAAGCCTTCCTTGATCAATTGCATGAACACTATGGGCTCAGTTCTGTAGGCACCAAGTAAGCCTACACCAGTGCTGATACAAGGGGTTCATGGGGGCCTTAGCCCCTTATAACCTCCATCTCCCAAAGGCCACCTGAAGATACACAAACTAAGTGAAAACAATGGGTTTAGTATGGAAATGTGAATTCTCAATAAGAACTCCAACACTGACTCCCACCCCCAAGCCTGAGAGTGTAGAAGTTCTTATAGCCTGTAGGCTACGCTCAGGTTTTGAAGCATCTATTAGGTGTCTTCCTTGGGTTTAGGTTGTAAGCTGCCCAGATTGAAGGGTGTCCTGCCATCTTGAGCGTGATCACCTCCATGTGGGCTACCCAACCCCACAACTGCTTTGTTAGGATAATGACACCAGTTGTTGACCAAGTAATTCCTTTAGATTATTGAGGCACTTTCCAGCACATCAGCGCATTTTGCTCTGAAAACATCCTGTGAGACTGATGGGGCAGGTACCATTACACTGTTCACGGATGTGGAAACTGAGGCTGAACACCTTGCACTTGGTCAGTGAGGTGACAAAGCCAGTCCTCCCACCACACACACCTACGTGCCTCCCTGCCCTCTGAACTGCTTTGTTTGCCAGCTCAGGTTTTAATCCTTTCCAGTGTCAGGGTTGTTGAGCCGTGGCTCCAGGGCTGACGGGAGCCAGAATAAGCAGATCTGACTTCTAATCTGACTCACCCAGCTGGTTCAGAATGCAGCCAAACTGGGGAAATTTGGTCGTGCTCCCACGCCTCCCCTTCCCCTCATCCACAGCTGCTCCTCCCCCCAGCTCTGGGAGCTGTGGGGTGGGGTCCCAGGAGGATGTGAGCCTATGGACAAGCGGAATGTTTTTCCTACTCAGCATTGTTCTGCCCTGCCCATTGTGTGGGCTGGGAGCTGGACATCACCAAGTCGCCTGGCAGGCTTTCAGCGGAGCTGGGGAACATTTCCGAAGGGAACTGACCCATTATAAATGGCCGAAGCTTTTCAAAAGCTTTGGCATTTCCTTGGATTGGCCAGACTAGGGGAGCAGTGGAAAGGAAGGACTTGGAGACTCCCCACTCCTGGCAGCAGCTATGAAGCTAAGGGTCCCAGGGACCTTGGCAGACCTGTGGTTTGCCAAAAGGGACTCGCCCTTCAGTATGAGGGGTTTGGGAATGTAAAGGGAAATTGGGGTGGGGGTGAGAAAGGGCTGGTGGATGGAGGGCTTGGCTAGGGGGCATCGAGCCAAAATTGAATGGTATTTTGTTTACGTTATCTGACCCTAACTTGAAATGGTTCACACCTGAGGATAGGAATGGACTTGTCATCTTGAAAAGCGTCACTGAGCTCTCCCCAGAGGAACCGCAAGGTCAGAATTGTTTTGAAGCAGTTCCGTGTTTGCCACAGGGTGAGTAATGATGTCTCCAACTCACAGTCTTCTGTCCCAGGGAAGGCACTTATTTGCGCGTTCCTCTCTTTACCACGGCCAGGGCAGTTCTTCGGTGCTAGTGGCGTCAATTTTCTCATGGTTTGATTTAATCCTCACACAAGACCAACAGGCAGGTACAGTACCCCACTTCTTATAGATGAGGAAACTGAGTCTCGCAGAGGTCAGGCATTAGTTCCAGACCGCACAGCTACTTGGTAGCAGAGCTGGGACTTGAACCCAGGTCTGTGACACTGTAAAGTCCATGTCATACAACAGGATTTCTCAAATATTCACGTACATTAGAATTGATTGGGGTGCTGGCTAAAAAGGCAGATTTCTGGGCCTTCTCTCCTCTCCTCATTCTAATTCAATCGATCGGGGTTGGGGGCAGGAATCTTCATTCTCATCAAATAGCATGATTCTGAAGTGGTGGGCCACAGGCTGAGAAACACTGCCTCGGGGGCCAGGCTCTGTTTTATGACTTCCGCCAAGAGAGCAGCATCCTGGTCTGAAGACCCAGAGAGCCCCAGGCCCCTGCTAAGACCTCAGGCGGTCACACTGTCCCCTTCCTCTTCCCTTCCCTGTGGAGCGGAACCCAGGAGAAGCAGCCTGGGGACTCCGGAGGCAAAGAACCGATCGGCAGCCAGTAAAAGTCTCCCATCACCCTTTTAACATTTTAAGCCCACAAGAGAGGAACCCAAGCAACAAAATTAGGAATAAAGGGGCCCTCGTTTACCTCTCAGATGTTTATGGATCCCTGCCATGGGAAAGGGCTTGGGACAGACACCTCTGAGATCCTGAGATGCTGAGTAGAGCAGGTTTCTCAGAGCTGTGTATGTCAGAAACCTATTTCAGAATAATTCAGGGCTTGCTAGGAATGCAGAGTCCTGGGCCCCACCCCAGACCGCTATAGTCAGAGTCTTTAGGGGTGAATTCCGGGAATCTATATTTTAAATACACTCCCCCCAGACAATTCTGAAGCAAATAGAAGTTTGCGAAGTAGAGCCCGAAGGGTCAGGAAGGAAAGGAAGGCCCGAGGCTGAAGGACCAAAGCTACAGGGTTAGCAGAAACCCCCGGGAGCAGCTGTGGGTTAGCGGAAGGGAGCGCGGTGCTCGATGTGTAGAATTCCGGGTTCGAATCCCGGCTCGGCAGCTCTGCGATCCTGGGCATGTGACCACCTCCCGGAGCTCACTCCCTCACAGGCCCACTGGGGGTGGCCTGGTTCACGTCTCCACACAGCTGTGAAGACCTAGTGAGCACACAGGAGCACCTACTGTGTGGCGGAAGAAGCTTATTCATTGTTTTGAGGCAATATGAACAGAAGGCTCCCAGCCGCACCCCACTGGCACAGATCCGCTTCACTCTGCTGGGCAGTCAAGGGCTCGTTGGGCATCGGGGTTAGAATTCAGAATCATGACTCTAGACTTGGTGGAGTGACCCCTCAGGGTCAGGGATCATGCTGAAGCCCAAAGGTCAGGTCTAGAGGGCTGTTTCAACCACTCCACTCCCCTGTCCATCCATAGCCAAACCCCTCAACTTCACTCAGGTGGGTCACACCAAAACCATGGGCTCTGAGGGGTCAGCTCAGAGGCTCATCCTCATTCTACCCTCACTATTAGTCTTGTTTCCCTGGGGTTGTCTCTGATGAGCTGGGGACATAACTATTTCTCTTCCCACCACCCTGGGGTGGCTCCAAGAACCTCTAACCTCCCCTGACTCTCATGCCTCATGAGAGGCCCCTTCTTCCCCTCCACACCTCGAGTAGCCCAGGGGCCAGCTTCAGGCCAATCAACACAGCCTTCATGGGGATAAACCAATTCATACCCAGCAGGTGGACTAGGCTCACTGAGACCTTCCCCAGGAATATGTACACTTTGCAAGAAGATGCAAGAAAGAGGTACAGCGGGACTGGAAGAGAGCCTCTCCCCAGCAGTGTAGCCTCAAGTTAAACACAGGCTCTGGAGCCAGAAGGTTCAAATCTTGGCTTGTCTAGTCACTAGGTAGACAGCCTTGAATGACATGCTTCACCTCTGTGTGCCTCCGTTTCCTTATGTATAAAGCAAAGATATAATAAACACTCCTACTTCCTTAACACAGGGAAAGTACTGAGGACATGTCTGACATATATTAGATCCTCAGAATATATTAGCCATATTGCTCACTGATAAAAAGATCTTGAAGATGGGGAGATTTTTAATAGTCTGGACTTCATAGGTAACTAACTGCCTGTCTCCCTCCGGGGCCGTGTGCCCACCACGTCCAAGGGTAGCTCTGGCTGCCCTCACCTGGAGGTGATCCTGCAAATGGAACTAAGGGTTCAAATGATCAGGCTGGGATTTATCTCTTGGTAAGTCTCCTTGAGAATAAGGATAAGGATGAGAGCAACAGCGGCTGGATTAGGGGAGAGTGAGTATAAGCATCTCTTGAGCCAGGACCTAGATGGACTTAAAAGGAATGTGATACTGGCTCCTCTCTGCCATTTCCTTTATGTGTAGCTTCCACATGAACTGGGTGGGGGCAGGGCTCAGCGAGAGACAAGGGTGGGGGCAGTTCAAATCTCTGGGCCTCTGCACTCTAAGAAACTGGGAAGAAGTGGG